TACTGTGTGTTTGTACTGCGTCATACTGTGTGCACTGTGTGTACAATATATACTGTGTGGACTGTGTGTGTACTGTGTGTGTATACTGTGTGTGTACTGTGTGTGTGCACTGTGTGGACTGTATGTGTACTGTGTGTATACTGTGTGTTTGTACTGCGTCATGCTGTGTGTACTGTGTGTGCACTGTGTGTGTACTGTGTGTACTATACTCGTCAGGCAGCTGCCTCCAAGCGCGGCTTCGCTTTGTGCACATTTCATTTTCTTGGAACGCATTCGCTCCTCCCACGAGCCGCCCATCTAGCGCCGCATAGGGCGAGGCGGGGACACCTCCAACCGGTACCACACCGCGGGGTCGAGGCAGCCGCAGCAAATGCAGAGCGGTCGCGTTCGCCAACACTGAAGAATGCTGACTTTTGTTTTGTGTTATACCTTAAACAGGTCCCTGCAGGGTGGGCTGGTAGGACAAGTCTCTGCGCTGTCTATTGCTGATTTTACACCCCAACAGCACGAGATTTCACTTCGTTAAAGTATTGAAAGGGGACGGACGGACGGACACATTAATCTATTGCAGGCTGGTACACTCAGTTTACAACTTCGTTCCTACCAGTAAAAAAGGGTTCTCTTGTGTCGCCTCACAGAGCGATCAATTCAAGGCTTCAACATCACGGCGTATACCGTGCTCCCACCACCACCACCACCGATTTCACGTTGTTATTAATAATAATAATGTTAATAATAATATTACGCGGACCGAGCGAGAGTGTCGCGTTACAGTGATTGTAGGATATTAATTGTTGCGCAAATAAATTGTGCACGTGGTTTTGGGCCCGTGGCTGAGGCTGTGTTCTCAAAGCACGGCTTGAAATGAAATGTCTCGTTCGGTCTCGGCAGTTGTTTGTTAATTTTATTATTTTAATAGTTCCGGCAAACCATAAATCAACCCGCAGTTTTAAGACGCCTCGCATTTTGCGAGCGATATTACCGCGTGTAATGTTTTAAGTATGTTTAATTGCGGTGTCATTTTTCTCCATCCACTGCTCGACGAAGGTCACGATAAGAATTCAAAACTGTGAACATCAGATGAGATTTTTCAATTGTTATTCTTATTATAATCATATACCGTTAGGGCAACCCTCGGATCGATGAAGCTACATCGATACCCAATATATATTAATCGCACGTTGTAGGTAGGTGTGTGTGTGTTACGAATCTGGCGACCCGAGTTCGATTCCGGCTCACGGCCAACACCAGTGACGATTATCTGAACCGGTGCTGGGACTCCCCTAGGTCGACTCAGCCTCAAATGAGTACCTGGTGCGGTGCGTAAATATCAGCATTGGGAAGACAAAGGCGGCCTGGAGTGTTACCCGCTACCCACGCCCTTGTGTGCCATCGCGGCTTTCATAGGTGCTGCTTCCTAACAGCACTTGCCCCAACATCCTGTTAAAGGCTATACGGGGGGGGGGGGGATCTTTATCTTTGTGTATCTGTATTCGTGTATGTGTTTGAGAATATGTGTGTGCATACGAGTTGTCTGTGTACATGAACACACACGCACGTAAGATATATTTTTTTGACACTCAATTATCAATTAACTGCTGTGTATTTGTGTGTATCCGTATTAATATATAAACGTGAGCACATTCATATATCAGTAGCGTATACAGTATAGTTGAGTGAGTATGTGTGTGTATGTGTCTGCGTACATTGGGGAGCGGTAGCGTAGTAGCGCTTACGCTGCGCTAGGAAACCGTCCACGCGAGTTCGATTCCCGCTCACGGCCAACACCGGTGGCGATTATCCGCACCGGTCCTGGGCCTCCCCTAGGTCGACTCAGCCTCAAATCAGTACCTGGTGCGGTGTGTAAACGTCGCCACTGGGGAGACAAAGGCGGCCCAAGCGTGGTACTGCCACCCGAGTCTAGTGACGGCTATGACGTGGGATCTTTGTGTTTGCAGAGAGAGTAGAAAGAGAGAGACTTTACTAGTGACGGCTATGACGTGGGATCTTTGTGTTTGCAGAGAGAGAGTCGAAAGAGAGAGACTTTACTAGTGACGGCTATGACGTGGGATCTTTGTGTTTGCAGAGAGAGAGAGTCGAAAGAGAGAGACTTTACTTTTAAAAACAATTTTATTGCTGCCAGCAGCAATATCTCTGGAGCCACTTTTGATGCGGGATCACCGACAGAAACATTGCAAACCTAAGGCACATGCGCCACACCGCCACGTGCAACGCAAGCACCGCGTCGTCACGTCGAGAGAAAGGACAGGGTGTTCAAGAGAAAGTGTTCAAGAGAAAGTGTTAAAGAGAAAGTGTTAAAGAGAAAGTGTTAAATAAAGAGAGCGAGAGTGTAAAGAGAGATAAACGTCACTGTGGGGTCGAATATTCCTTACGCGGCAGGACCTGAACCGTGACATTTCACGGCCGCGCTGTAGTTCCACCACCACCAACCACCACCACCAAGAACAACAACAATAATACTAATAGCAGCGGCGGCGATGTGAGAGAAACGAATAACTCTCTATTGACTCTCTCTTTAGACGAATAACTCTAACCGCCAGGGCACTCGTGCGTGACCCCTTGGGCGAGAACGTCTCTCATAATGACCGTGTAATTGTTCTCAGAAGGTAGCCGCGTGTACGTGCGTGCGACACGTGTGCGAATGTGTACTATGCACGCGCGTGCCATACACGTATGTGTGTGCTGTGTACGTGCGTGCCACACACGTGTATGTGTGTGTGTGTGCTGTGCACGTGGGTGCGACACACGTGTGTGAGTGTGGGCTGTGCACGTGCGTGCCACACATGTGTGTGAGTGTGTGTTGTGCACGTGCGTGCCACACACGTGTGTGAGTGTGGTGCTGTGTACGTGCGTGCGACACACGTGTGTGTGTGTGCGCTGTGCACGTGCGTGCCACACACGTGTGTGAGTGTGCGCTCGCTAACAGCACTTGCCCCAACAGTCCGTTCAGGATATTCGGGGGATCTTTGTCTTTGTATAAGTGTGGGGAGCGGTGGCGTAGCAGTTAGCACGCTGCGCTACGAACCCGGCGACCCGAGTTCACACCGGTGACGAATTATCTGAACCGGTCCTGGAACTCCTCTACATCGACTCAGCCTCAAATGAGTACTCGGTGCGGTGTGTAAAGGCGGCCCGGTGTGGTGCTGGCTACCCACCTCATTCGTGCGCTCGCTAACAGCACTTGCCTCAACAGTAAGTGCGGGCTATACGGGTGATCTTTGTCTTTGTTTCGTGTATGTGTAAGGGAGAGGGTTAGATGGGGGGGGGGGGGGGAGGTTGCTAATGGCCAATGACCCCGTGGCTCAATTAGCGGCGCCGCTTTGCGTGTTTTGCGTGTGAGGTGTGCGCGTGAGAGTTCATAAACGTGGGAATCGGAGGCCCTGGGTCAAACTTCCCCCCCCCGTCATAACCCCCCACTACCCTCCTCTACTCCCTGTACTCCCCCCCCACCAAATACCGAGTCACTTCCTCCCCATCTCCTACTCACCCACCTACCCTGCCATCGTACTGCGGATGATCACCGTGCGTCCGTGTTGCTGTGGAACTCTGTCCGATGTTGTGTTCGCGTCGTTAGCACCCACGCGCCGTTCCCGACACGCTGTCCGACGTTTCGCTCCGCGTTCCGGGGGCGTCTTCAGATCGACCGAATTTTGCTCGGCTCGTCAGATATCGGATGCTAAGCAGGCGTTGAGCCTGGCTAGCGCCTGTTCGGGTGCTCACCGTGTGAAAACGAGCTTGTTTTAGGAATGCTGAGCAACGTGGTGGGCAGTGGAGGACACAATCTAACGTTGTACTGCACTACGCTCCAACGTCCATGCTCCCCCCGCTCCCCCTTCACCGATCCGCACTTAACACCAGCGTAGTGGTGGTATCACGCACGCGACCCCCACCCCGTGCGGTGTTCATGGGTCACCTTCATCCAGCAGTGGATCGAGCACGTCCGATGATGAATGCTGCACGCTAGTCTCTCAAGGGGGTGGAGGACAAAGATTTGCATTTCACAGTGGCCCTTGCTTAAATATCGTCTCGAGAAAAACGTCGAGTTACCCTGTTGCAGTTGTAGCCTAGGGGACCACCTGGTGGCAGCTGTCCCTGGCACGGCAAAAAGTGAAGCAGCAATACAGATATGACGTCATGCACAAAGTGCATCAACTTGCTGCAGAGGAATTACGTTTGCAATATTTATCAGTGCCTCGTCACTTGATAAAGGAGTTCCCTTCGTTTGTGTGCGGTTTTTCATATTTGTTTTGCTTTTGTCATTTTGGTGAGCCAGTCGCTTGAGTTCACACCTGGGTAAATAAAATGAACTTGAAATATGAACTGACTCACCCACCATCTCACCAACCCACTCACTCATTCACTCACCCACCATATCACCCAGCCACTCATTCACTCACTCATTCACTCACCCACTCACTCACTCTTTCAATCACTCTCCCACCATCTCACCCATCACCTCACCCACCCACTCTTTCAATCACTCTCCCACCATCTCACTCACTCACCCATCACCCACCCACCCACTCACTCTTTAAATCACTCTCTGACCATCTCACTCGCTCACCCATCAATTCACCCTCTCTTTCAATAACTCTCCCACCATCTCACTCGCTCACCCATCATCTCACCCTCTCTTTCAATAACTCTCCCACCATCTCACTCACTCAACCATCTTTTCACTCACCCACTCACCCACTCTTTCAATCACTCTCCCACCATCTCACTCACTCACCCATCACCCACCCACTCTTTCAATCATTCTCCCACCATCTCACTCACCCATCATCTCACCCACTCTTTCAGTCACTCTCTCATCATCTCACTCACTCACCCACCCACCGACCCACCCACCCACCCCCCTCTCGCAAACGGCACTCGTCCTCTCCTCTCGAGCTCTCCCACCTCGCCTTGGCGACGCGAAGCTGCCCTTGAACCTGACCCACGGCACCGTCCGCCTGCCCTCCCCTCGCCCCGCTCAGATCATCCTCCACTCCATGCACCGCTACCTCCCGCGCGTCCACGTGGTGCGCAAGGAGGCGGGCGGAGCGCACGCGGTGCCGTGCCCCACGGCGGACAACAGCCGCGCCTTCTCCTTCCCCGAGACGGTGTTCACCACCGTGACGGCCTACCAGAACCAGCAGGTGGGTCAACAGCAGCAGCAGCAGCGGCGGCAATACAAATAACAACAACAACAACACCGGCAACAACACAACCATCCCCCACCAACAACACCAGCAACAACAACCCTGGCAACAACAACACCAATAATACCACCACCAATAACACCACCAACAACACCACCAACAGGAACACTACCAACAACAGCATCATCACCAACAACATTACAAACCAACAGCAAGAAAATCACCAATTCTGCCAACACCACCACCAGCACCAACAACACCAACAACACAAACGCCTCCTTCCACGCCTATTCTCGCACCACCAAATCCACTATCAACAACACAAGCAACCCACCACCAACGCTATCACATCCGCCACCACCGTCTCCACCACCACACCACCACACCACCACGACACCACCACCAACCACACTACCACCACACAGGGACGATGGGCTGAGTCTCCATCGTTCTAACTCGCAAAACCGTGGCATTGCGAGCCGCTCGCAGCTCGAACACTGAGCCACTTGTACACACATATATACACTATATATACACACTATATATACACACTATATATACACACTATATATACACACTATATACACCCACTATATATACACACTATATATACACACTATAAATACACACACGATATATACACTATATATAGTGTATAAATATATAGTATATATACACTATATATAATATACATACTATATACATTATATATACACTATATATACAATATATACACTATATATACCGACTATATACTGGACATCTGTGAAAATGAGCTTCATAGCTCATCGTATTCCTCCAGTATAAATACTAATTCTGATTAGCACGGTTGGCTACGTACAGCGCGAAATAAATTCTACGTTCATATAATACAATATATACACACTGCATATATATACACACACACACTACATACACGCACTCTATGTGAACACTAAATATATATACACAGTTACACACACGGCCACATAATGTGTCCGTGTATTGTTAATGAACGCGCTGCGGCGTGGAAGCGCACGGGCGCTAGAAGCGGCGTCCACAATCGGCGCCTCTCACTCGTCCGCTCGCCCCCTCCCTCCCACGACGTCAGATCACGCGACTCAAGATCGACCGGAATCCCTTCGCCAAAGGATTCCGTGAGTCCGGACGGAATCGGTAAGGACTTCTTCAATGGATCGGTTCCATCTCTCTTCCCCCCCCCCTCCCCTCGACCCCCCCCCCCTACGCAAGCACTCCGCACGCCACCACCACCACCCCCCCTCCCTAAAAAGGGTAAAGGCGCAGCCCTGCAATGTCTTGCTCACTCTACTGCCGGCAGAAGGGGTCTCCACTCGATTGGCCGGACGTATAGTAAAACGTGAACATACCCACATTTTACCCCACCAGACGCGCCCTGCACGCCGACTAACTCGCAACTTGCATACCCATGCCTCCCGTAACCAGTCGCTCTGCAGTGTACAGTATATATATTTACGGTCAGTTTGTTAATCCACTGCTGGATGAAGGACACCCCACGACGTGGCGTCGATCTTGGTAGGGGGGAGAAGTTGTTTGACCATACTTCACCGCGGCCGGCGCGGTGCGGGTTGGTGAAGGATTTAGGAAGGGATTTCCCAGCACCGATCAAGGAGATGTCAGTCGACGACGATTTCTGCCTCGGGGCCGTGAAATTGAACGTGGGAAAGTCAACGTTCGAAGGGCAGTTGCGCTAATCACTGCGCCACCGCTCCACCATCCCCCCCCCCCCCCCCCCCCCCCAGTTTAACACTCTAGAGTAGTATTATCATAAATAATTGAAGCTTTCGTGACTGCATAAATTACTCATCGGTTTTATTTTTTTTCCGGTAAAGTCACGTATGTAGAAATATCATGAAATTATATTAAAATAAATCACGACGTTTCGATCGCTCGCGTTGCGGTCGAAACGTCGTCATTTATTTTAATATAATTTTACGGTATTTCTACATACGTGACTTTACCGAAAAAAAAACAATGAGTAGTATTATCATAATAATGATGATTATTATTATCATTCTGGCCATCATTAAGGGAGGGTGAAGAGTGCAATGGGCATGACGTCACCATCCAGCTGTTGTTATCAGCTCTCGTGAGCTCTGCCCCTGATTCCCGCTTTGACAACAGATCGCAAGCGCCCTGATCGCGTCGACAGCGGAGCGGGCCCCTTGCCATTCAAAACGGCCGGCGGCTCTCTGCGAGTGTTGCGCTTGAAGCGGGGCCGCTGATGAGACACCGGATGTTGAAACTGCTCTAAACGTTTGCTCGTGTTGAACGCGTGCCGCTTTGGCGGTGTCGCGCCCGGGTGGGGGGGGGGGGGGGCGAGCGGGGGGAGAACTGGCCACGAATTCGAGGCAGGATAAGAAATGCTGGCATTCGCGAAATGTCATCGCTGCAGACGGAGTGCTGCTGTAACTGAACTGATCTCAAAGAGTTACCACCGTAGGAGTAAGAAAGAGGTTGCATGTAGAAGAAGACGATCTGATGATGATGATGATGATGCGGGCAGTGACGAGAAGGGAACTTGGCACTATTTGGACACCTGTGTGTAGGATGTACAGCAACAGGAAGATGTCAAGTTTGTTGTTCGGAAAAAAATGGAAGGAAGGGGAATGAGAGGAAGACCTTGCAGAGATTGGTGCCGCAAAGTCGTGGCCACGACTTGAGCATTAAGGCCACAAGGCGGAGAGAAAAGTGGAAACAAATGACGAAATATGCCGGAGATACCTATGGGATATCTGCCCATGGATCGTGGTGGCTGATGGAATGTAGGGAAAATAAGTAATATTTTTTAAAAAACTTTTTTTAAAAACACGCTTTAATGAAATGTACCGTACGAGTAATGGCAGAACTCCACGACTCCAGGAACGGACCCTGAAGCTGGCCACAACGTAAGGGGGGCCGTGGTGATTTACAGCCAACGTCAGTTGAGCGTGGACAATTAGACCCAAGCCGAAACATAACGTATAAAAAATAACGTTTAAAAATAAACATTTTTAGTTTTTTGTTGATGATAGAATATAGTATTGTCATCAGTATGACATGAGTATACCAAGTTTGCAGTCGATACCACATTGGGAAATGGGTTAAAATTGAGTTACAAGATTTGAGGATACAACAACAACGACAACAACAGACAGGCGAATTACTTTTGGTGTGACCTACACATCACAGACACAAATCCAGACTGTTGGGGCAAGTGTGCTGTTAGCGAGTGCCAGGGCACACACGGTGATGGGTGGCGAGTACCACACCCGGCCGCCTTTGTATCCCCAGTGCCGATGCTGTATACACACCGCACCAGGTACTAAATTAAGGCAGAGTTAACGTCTACGAAACGCTGGACCGGCTAAGATGTTGGCCGTGAACGGGAATCGAACTCGGGTCGGCGGCGATTCGTAGCGCCGTGCGCTAAACACTGCACGACCACTCCGCACATATACACATAGTCACACATATACTCGTACACAAACAGTGTACTTAGTATATATGTATACACCAGTGTATATACGAGACATTTATCACTTATGCTCACGTACACTTATAAATATAATCGTATATACATATATACACAAAAGTGGATTGACAAATTACTGTAAGTATATATGGGTATTCATATATCCACTCATATACACACGTGCCCGCACATTGTCGTACATATATACATACATATATACACACACACAAATACACAAAGACAAGACAAAGATCCCCAGAATGCCCTTAACAGACTATTGGGGCAAGTGCTGTTTGCGAGCACCTATGAAGGCCGAAAGGGCACACGAAGGGATGGTGTTGCCAGGAGCACGCCCGGCCACTTTTTGGATCCCTAGCGAAGATGTATCCACATCGCAGCGAGGTACTCATTCGAGGCTGAGTCGACATAAGGGAGGCCCGGAACTGGTTCGGATAATCGTCACCGATGCTGGTGGCCATGAGCGGGAATCGAACTTGGGTGGCCGGGATCGTGATCGTGGCTAAGCGAGCGCGAACCGCTGAGCCACCACGCCATAGCTATCGTATGAAATAATAATATTGTTATAAAATAGTAAATAATTATTTAATGTGCGATTATACATTCTCACACAGGGTGTGGGGGTGGGCGGGGGGAGACGAAACACGCTTCCTTGAGCCCAATTAAGGGCTAATTCACATTGTTTTAATCTCCCCGAGTTACTGTATGAGTTCACAAGTGCATATTGTTACACTCAGACTACGGGGCCGCCTTTCAACCGAAGTGCCCAGACACTTAGGCAATACTCGGGCCTTTAGGAATTTCATATCGGCATCGCAATAATAATAATAATCATCATCCATCACCAGCCACGGGATATTCACATATCCGACCGTGACCAATTAACGAATGTTCTACGCGTTTTAAATCGTTATTATTCTTTTTAATTATGGTGCAAACTGAGATTATCTCAAGTCTAATTTGCTATAGAAGGTTCACAAATGCAGTTGATAATGATGGCAATGCAGTTGAAGTTGTTGATTATATTGATTCATGTAGGAGTTGATGATTAATCGGATGATGATGGTGATGATGATGGTGGTGATGATGATGGTGCTGACGACGACGACGATGAAATGTATTATGTTGATGACAGTGTTAATGATGACGGTCACGATATTGAAGATGATACTGACGATGATGCAATTGTTGATGAAAATCAACAGCCGATCATGATGATGATGTTGGTGATAATTCAAGAGTCGATAATGATTACATCGTTCATAATCAGAAGTTTATTTCACCAGCAATGCCCATTGAGCTAAGAAGCTCCTTTTCAATGGCGACTCGGCCGACCGATGATGACAATCACATTAGAGGTCGCTGCCAATTCAACAATTCATGTATGTTGCTGCTGCTGCTGCTGACAAAGACGATAGACGGATATCCGATTTGAACAATGAGACCACGGCGATCCGTTCGCGAGAGACGTCGAGAGCCCAGTCGCTTCGCATCGCCCCCCCCCTATCCAGCCAGTCAACACCGTAACCCCGACAGAGCCACAGCCGCTCGGACTCTCTGCAACTCGACTCCACCGCTCCGCATTCCACCTCCACGCAGACTCCGTCTCGTGTTTTCGCAGCGCGCGCGCCACCATGAGCCCGGGTTTATCGATCTGTGCGGCCCACTGCTCGGATTTGGTGTAACTCGCCGCGGCATTCCATCAACTTTAAAGAAGCTCGCTTAGGCGAGGAGGCAACTGCCGAGTGTTTTGCCGCCGCCGCTAACTAATTGGGTATAAGTATGACTTGTAAAGGGGCTGAAAACTAACCCCGCATTGCCCCCGAGTTGCACACTCCTACTCACTCCACTCCACACACACACATATACACACACATACCCCCCCACCCACTCACCACCCCCCCATTACCCCACCACTACCCCACAACACGCACCCGCATAGCTGCTCCACATAGCCCCACAGCCACCCACCCATCCACCAGGACCTAGAGACAAATATCCCCTGTATAGCCTTTAACCGACTTTCAGGGCAAGTGCTGTGTGTGCTCCGTCATGGACGTACGTTGGGGCTAGGGGTGGACAGCGCCACTTGCCGGCCGCCTTTGTCTCCCCAGTGGTGATGTTTTATGCATCGCACCGGGTACAAATTTGACGCTGGGGCCGCACGACCGGTTCAGACAATCGTCGATGGTTGATGATGGCCGCGAGCTGGGATCGATCTCGAGCGGCTGATTTCGTAGCCTGCCACTGGACTACCACTGCTACCCATTCATCACATCGCCAAACTGTTCGTTAAGTACAGTTAATTGATTATCACGTGCATGTCCACGATTTGTGATCGACTCGTGTACATTCTCAAGTCGAAAAATCAGAGGGCTAGGATGTTTCGTGAGCGCGAATAACGCAGCAGTTGACGCGTTCGTCAGTATGTGCGTGAACAAGAGCACCGTGACCCGAAACGTCGCCTATTACACAGTGGCATCTTTCTAAGGCCGCAGTGGTGTTATTGACGAGTGTGTTGTTGAGGTTGTTGTTGTTGTTTGTTCTTAATTGTGGTTGTGCGCCACTCTGCCAACGCAGCAGCAGCGTTGGCAGAGGTCCACGCAGCTGCTGGGAGTCTCGCACGCACAAAGACAAATACAAAGAGTCCCCGTATAGCCTCAAGCGACGGTTGGGGCAAGTGCTGTTAGCGAGCACCTATTAAGGCCGAAACGGTACACGAGGGGGTGGGTGGCCAGCACCACGCCCGACCGCCTTTGTCTCCCTAGTGGCGATGTTTACACACCGCACCAGGTACTCAATTGAGGCTGAGTCGACCTAGGGGAGGCTCAGGACCGGTTCAGATAATCGTCACTGGTGTTGGCCGTGAGCGGGAATCGAACCCGGGTCGCCAGGTTCGTAGCGCAGCGCGCAAACCGCTACACTACCGCACACACACTGACACACACTGACACACACACTGACACACACACACTGACACACACACTGACACACACACTAACACACACTGACACACACGCACGCACATCGTCAGTTGACCGGGTAAATCCGCCTCCCGTGAGTGTGACGCTGAAGCCAATAAAAAGTGGGACCAAGCTCTCTCCCGGTTGGCGCGATAATTAATACAATACACTACAGACGCAGAGAGTTTTCCTAGCCGAAACTCTTTCGTCGGGGTGTGTTAGGAGCACTCGGTAGGTTAATTTTACGCGTAAAACCCAAAAATAAATGTCGTGGAAACCCTCCACCACCCGACTAGGCTGTCACGTCCACTACAGCGATATGATCGTGAAAATGTACAAGTGCCAATGTATGGAGTCAAACTTCTGATCGATAAAGTTCAAATCTGCGCACCGATGGCCCATACGACAAGGGGTCGGCCAACCGAACATATGAAGAGGAGACACATTTATTTTTCGAATTCGGCCGTAAACCAAAATTAAAAACAACTCAAACTCAATATTTTCAAGAGCAGCAAATGCAGCTGTGGTGAATACGAGACGGTGGTGGGTCCCCTAATAACGCAACTGTCACAACTGTCACGACTGTCACGACTGTCACAACTGTCACGACTGTCACGATTGTCACAACTGTCACAACTGTCACGACTGTCACGACTGTCACAGCTGTCACGACTGTCACGACTGTCACGACTGTCACAACTGTCACGACTGTCACGACTGTCACAACTGTCACGACTGTCACAACTGTCACGACTGTCACGACTGTCACAACTGCCACGACTGTCACGACTGTCACGACTGTCACGACTGTCACAACTGTCACGACTGTCACGATTGTCACAACTGTCACAACTGTCACAACTGTCACGACTGTCACGACTGTCACAGCTGTCACGACTGTCACGACTGTCACGACTGTCACAACTGTCACGACTGTCACGACTGTCACAGCTGTCACAACTGTCACGACTGTCACAACTGTCACGACTGTCACGACTGTCACAACTGTCACGACTGTCACGACTGTCACAACTGTCACAACTGTCACGACTGTCACGACTCTCACAGCTGTCACGACTGTCACGGCTGTCACGGCTGTCACGACTGTCACAACTGTCACGACTGTCACGACTGTCACGAACTGTCACGACTGTCACGACTGTCACGACTGTCAAAACTGTCACGACTGTCAAAACTGTCACGACTGTCACGACTGTCACAACTGTCACAACTGTCACAACTGTCACGACTGTCACGACTGTCACAGCTGTCACGACTGTCACGACTGTCACGAACTGTCACGACTGTCACGACTGTCACGACTGTCACAACTGTCACGAATGTCACGACTGTCACAACTGTCACAAGTGTCACAACTGTCACGAATGTCACGACTGTCACGACTGTCACGAGGCAGTCACTTTAAAGAGCCGCATGCGGTGCCGGAGCTGAAGGTTCGCTAACCCCCCCCCCCCGTCCTAAGACTTTTCATCAATGCATTGAACGCCGATTAAGCGTCAACATACGACGTCGGTGTGAATTAATTTGGTGCCCAAATCTGGCCCGCTATAATATATGATGTACATTAATATACACGTGTGTGTGTGTATTATGTAAATATGGGTAGCGGTTACCGCGATTGGGCTACGGACCCGGCCACACGAGCTCGAGCCCAGCTCACGGCCAACGGCAGTGACGATTATCTGAACCGGTCCTGGGCCTCGCTTAGGTTGACTCAGCCCAAAGTCAGTGCCTGGTGCGGTGCGGTCAACATCGCCACTGGGGAGACAAAGGCGGCCGGGCGCGGTGCTGGTCACCCACCCCCCTTCGTGTTACCCTGCCGGCCTTCATAGGTGCTCGCTCGCCAACTGCATTCGCCCCCCCCCCCCCCCCGCCAACAGTCTGTTGAGGCTACACGGGGGATCTTTGTCTTTGTGTGTGCAGCACGGGTCTCGAGGCGCTGATGGACAGCTACACGCTGTGGCGACCTCCCGGGCGCGCGCTCTCCCTGGAGGAAGCGGCGGCGGGTGGGCGCCTCCACGCCACTCAAGGTGGGTGGGAGCAGCCCCTCCCCTCCTACCCCTCCCCTACTACCCCCCCCCCTTCACTACCCCGTTACCCTTCCCCTCGGCAAGGCCAACCCATCCGCAACAATCCAAAGCGACCACGATCACCACCACCCGGCACCGCTAACTCACACCACAAGCTGCCCTAACATGCACCCCCCCCCCCCTCTCTCCCCCATGCCCCATCCCCCTTTGCCCCCCACCACCACCATAGCCTTTCACGCCTCCCCCACTCCCCTTTACCCCCCCCCCCCCCCCCATAGCCACCACCAACCACAACCAATTCTCACCACTACCACCACCACCACCACTCTTCCCCATCTTCGAGCCAAATCACCGGACCCCATGTCGAACTTGCTGCCGGTTAACCAGCAGTGGTTCTTGACCTTTACTGAAGCCTTGCCCACCCCCCTTTGGTTCGCAATCGTTAAACAATGTACAATGTTCACAAGTGCATACACAGAGGGGTTTGATGGAACAAAGTAAGTTGTAACTTAAGCGCCCGTGCTTAATTTGCGTTTTTCGATTATTTACCTGCTAAAATAATCTGGCCGTGTTCCTGCACCCCCAGAAAGGGAATCTCGCACCCCCAGCGGGTGCGTGCACCCCGGGTTAAGAACCACTGGTTTCGCACTCGCAGAAGGTCGCGTGGCTGATGGGATGAGTAAAACAAGGGGTCTGTGTTGTTTACGCGGAGAGAGACACACATGGGGAGGAGGCGATATGCCTGCGTATGTGTTCTGTCACTTGTATTCTCTCCAACGATGCTTAACGTTCATCATGTTACGCAGAACGCCAATGCCACCGCCACCCACCCACTCTCATCACCTCCCCACCCACCAACTCTCCACTCATCCACCTACTCTCACCACCTCCCTACCCACTCTCACCACCTCCCCACCCACTTTCACCACCTCCCCGCCTACCCAGTCTCACCACCTCTCCACCCACCCAGTCTCACCACCTCTCCACCCACCCATCCACCAACTCTCACCACCTCCCCACCCACCAACTCTCACCACCTCCCCACCCACCCACCAACTCTCACCACCTCCCCACCCACCCACCAACTCTCACCACCTCCCCACCCACCAACTCTCACCACCTCCCCACCCACCAACTCTCACCACCTCCCCACCCACTCTCACCACCTCCCCACCCACCAACTCTCACCACCTCCGCACCCACCCACCAACTCTCACCACCTCCCCACCCACTCTCACCACCTCCCCACCCACCAACTCTCACCACCTCCCCACCCACTCTCACCACCTCCCCACCCACCCACCAACTCTCACCACCTCCCCACCCACCAACTCTCACCACCTCCCCACCCACCAACTCTCACCACCTCCCCACCCACCCACCAACTCTCACCACCTCCCCACCAACTCTCACCACCTCCCCACCCACCCACCAACTCTCACCACCTCCCCACCCACCAACTCTCACCACCTCCCCACCCACTCTCACCACCTCCCCACCCACCAACTCTCACCACCTCCGCACCTACCCACCAACTCTCACCACCTCCCCAGCCACTCTCACCACCTCCCCACCCACCCACCAACTCTCACCACCTCCCCACCCACTCTCACCACCTCCCTGCCCACCCACCAATTCTCACCACCTCCCCACCCACCCACCAACTCTCACCACCTCCCCACCCAGCCACCAACTCTCACCACCTCCCCACCCACCCACCAACTCTCACCACCTCCCCACCAACTCTCACCACCTCCCCACCCACCAACTCTCACCACCTCCCCACCCACTATCACCACCTCCCCACCCACCCACCAACTCTCACCACCTCCCCATCTACCCACCAACTCTCACCAACGCCCCACCCACCCACCAATTCTCACCACCTCCCCACCCACTCTCACCACCTCTCGACCCACCCATCCACCAACTCTCACCACCTCCCCACCAACTCTCACCACCTCCCCACCCACCAACTCTCACCACCTCCCCACCCACTATCACCACCTCCCCACCCACCCACCAACTCTCACCACCTCCCCATCTACCCACCAACTCTCACCAACGCCCCACCCACCCACCAACTCTAACCACCTCCCCACCCACCCACCAACTCTCACCACCTCCCCACCCACCCACCAAATCTCACCACCTCCCCACCCACCAACTATCACCACCTCCCAATCAACTCTCACCACCTCCCCACCCACCCACCAACACTCACCACCTCCCCACCCACCAACTCTCACCACCTCCCCACCCACTCTCACCACCTCCCCACCCACCAACTCTCACCACCTCCACACCCATCCACCCACCAACTCTCACCACCTCCCCAGCCACTCTCACCACCTCGCCACCCACCCACCCACTCTCACCACCTCCCCACCCACTCTCACCACCTCCCCACCCACTCTCACCACCTCCCCAACCACCCACCAACTCTCACCACCTCCACACCCACCCACCCACCAACTCTCACCACCTCCACACCCACCCACCCACCAACTCTCACCACCACCTCCCCACCCAGCCACCAACTCTCACCACCTCCCCACCAACTCTCACTAGCTCCCCGCCCACCCACCAACTCTCACCACCTCCCCACCCACTCTCACCACCTCCCCACCCACCAACTCCCACCACCTCCACACCCACCCACCAACTCTCACCACCTCCCCACCCACTCTCACCACCTCCCCACCCACCCACCCACCAACTCTCACCACCTCCCCACCCACCTACCCACCAACTCTCACCACCTCCCCACCCACTCTCACCTCCTCCCCACCCACCAATTCTCACCACCTCCCCACCCACCAACTCTCACCAACTCCCCACCCACCAACTCTCACCACCTCTCCACCCACCCACCAACTCTCACCACCTCCCCACCCACCCACCAACTCTCACCACCTCCCCACCCACTCTCACCACCTCCCCACCCACCTACACACCAACTCTCACCACCTCCCCACCCACTCTTACCACCTCCCCACCCACCCACCAACTCTCACCACCTCCCCACCCACTCTCACCACCTCCACACCCACCCACCAACTCTCACCACTCCCCACCCACTCTCACCACCTCCCCACTCACCAACCCACCCACTAACTCTCACCACCTCCCCACCCACCCACCAACTCTCACCACCTCCCCACCCACCCACCAACTCTCACCACCTCCCCACCCACCCACCAACTCTCACCACCTCCCCACCCACCCACCAACTTTCACCACCCACCCACCAACTTTCACCACCTCCCCACCCACCCACCAACTCTCACCACCTCCCCACCCACTCTCACCACCTCCCCACCCACCAACTCCCACCACCTCCACACCCACCCACTCATCCACCAACTCTCACCACCTCCCCACCCACTCTCACCACCTCCCCACCCACCCACGCACCCACCAACTCTCACCACCTCCCCACACACCCACCCACCAACTCTCACCACCTCCCCACCCACTCTCACCACCTCCCCACCCACCCACCAACTCTCACCACCTCCCCACCCACCCACCAACTCTCACCACCTCCCCACCCACTCTCACCACCTCCCTCCCCACCCACTCACCCACCAACACTCACCACCTCCCCACCCACTCTCACCACCTCCACACCCACCCACCCACCAACTCTCACCACTCCCCACCCACTCTCACCACCTCCCCACCCACCCACCCACTAACTCTCACCACCTCCCCACCCACCCACCAACGCTCACCACCTCCCCACCCACCCACCAACTCTCACCACCTCCCCACCCACCCACCAACTCTCACCACCTCCCCACCCACCCACCAACTCTCACCACCTCCCCACCCACCCAACAACTTTCACCACCTCCCCACCCACCCACCAACTCTCACCACCTCCCCACCCACCCACCAACTCTCACCACCTCCCCACCCACCCACCAACTCTCACCACCTCCCCACCCACCCACCAACTCTCACCACCTCCCCACCCACTCTCACCACCTCCCCACCCACCCACCAACTCTCACCACCTCCCCACCCACTCTCACCACCTCCACACCCACCCACACACCAACTCTCACCACCTCCCCACCCACTCTCACCACCTCCCCACCCACCCACCAACTCTCACCACCTCCCCACCCACCCACCCACCCACCAACTCTCACCACCTCCCCACCCACTCACCCACCCACCAACTCTAACCACCTCCCCACCCACTCTCACCACCTCCCCACCCACCCACCAACTCTCACCACCTCCCCACCCACCCACCCACCAACTCTCACCAACTCCCCACCCACTCACCAACTCTCACCACCTCCCCACCCACCCACCAACTCTCACCACCTCCCCACCCACCAACGCTCACCACCTCCCCACCCACTCTCACCACCTCCCCACCCACCCACCCACCAACTCTCACCACCTCCCCACCCACTAACTCTCACCACCTCCCCACCCACTCTCATCACCTCTCCACCCACCCACCAACTCTCACCACCTCCCCACCCACCAACTCTCACCACCTCCCCTAGCAAGCACCACTCTCCTCCCAAAATCCTCAGGCAGCCAAAACAACTCTAGTCCCACGGCCACTCTTATCTGGGGGCCTTTGAAGAGGGAATCATAAACAATGGAGTCCTCGCGTGTGTGAGTGTGTGAGTCTGTGCGCGCGTGTGCCTCTGTGCGCGTGTCTGTGAGTGAGTTGTCCGCCCTAGCGCCACCCCGAGACTTCAGTTGTCGCAAAGTGACGACTTCATTTCGGTGGAGCGGTGGTGGAGTGGTCGGCGCCCGCGCTCAGACAGCCCTAGCGACCGCAGGGTTCGATGTCCCCTCCGCGGGCAACGTCAGTGGCGATTATCCTGAGCCGCTCAACCGGGCCTCCGTGCCTCCATCGGAACCTGCGAAGGTCGACTTCGGCTGAAATTAGTACCGCTGCGTAACCATCAGCACTGGGAAGACAAAGGCGGCCGGGTGTAGTGCTCGACGGCCCATATCACAGGCGCTCCCTAAAAGAACTTGTCCCAACGGGCCGTCGAAGGCTATACGGGGGATCTTTGTCTTTGTGTGTACGTGAATCGCAATGCATTGCGCGGGGTGGTGGCGCCGTGGTTTGCACGTCACGCAACGAACCCAGCGATTTGTAAGTTCGATTCACGGTCATAGCTAACATTCAGGAGCGGGTGATATCCTCATCGTCATGATGTTCCTGTTAATGATGCTGATTATACACTATGTAACACCATTTTTGTTCTGGGTACTAAGTGTTAATTTTTTTTTTATTGATCATGCCTCAAAAGTACAGAAAATGGATATTATTATTCCCCACACGCTTTGCTTTTGTGACCAGGACTTTAGTTAAAGGAATGACACAAATGCACACCGCGTTTTCTCATTGAAAATATGTACATTTCAAAATATCACTGTCCTGGTCACAAAAGCAAATTTTGTGGGGAATAATAGCCATTTTATATACCTTTGAGGCAAAATAAATTACGAAATAACACTTACTACCCAGGAACACATTTTATTTGTTATACAGTGATTAATCGTAGTTACAATAGAAATGTTGACAATAATATTGCTGCTGCTGTTACAGTTGTTGCTGATGACGAGAATGGTGCTGTTCGAGGTTATGATGATGATGATTCTTGATAAAGTATTGATTTTGTGGATCAGGATAATGATTTTGGCCCATCACAAATGTATTGCTGCTGCTGATGGTGGTGGTGGTAATTATGATGATTATACTATGAATGATGATGGATAATATTATATTGAAAGTGTTGTTGTTGATGATGATTCTATAGATCATTGATGCTGGCTGCAACTGCCAGCGAAACGTCGGACTACCCAATTGTTAAACGCGTGTGGATCGCTCTCCAACACCGCACGGGTGCTGCTGCTAATTATACTGCAGCGGCAATAAATTGGCCACGTTTGTTCATCACGTGACCACTTTATTAATTGGCTGCTCCGGGTGGATGAGGGTGGACGACACGCATCCACACTTGATAAAAAGCCGGAAAGGCTCAATGGGTTAATTACTCGGATAATACATTTCTGATTCTAAGCATTTTACTCACGCAGCGATATGACCCAAAATCAATCAGTAGATTGTTTACGATGCTGCTGCTGATGAAGATTCTGTCAATGATGGAAATAATGACACTGATGACGATGATGACCAAGATACTGCTGCAACTGATGATGTTGTTGTTGATGATGATGATGTTGTTGTTGTTGTGCCGGCGTGAGCAGCCAGCCTCCTGGACGCCTCCCTCATGGCGTCCGGCTTTGGAGCAGCACCACCACCGGGCCACCACCACCACCACCACATGTTCTTGCCCACGATGGGACCTGTCCACATGGCTGGCTCACCACACCCGCACGCCCACCACCACCACCATCACCACGCCGCCGCCGCCGCGGCCGCCGCCGCCCAACATCACCACCACCAGCAACAACAGCAGCAACAGCAGCAGCATCAGCAGCAGCAGCAACAGCAGCAGCAGCACCAAGCTCTGCTCGCCGCCCACCACCATCACCACCACCACGCGCACCAGCACGGTCCATCTCACGGCGAACAGCAACCTCGTTTTTCCAGCCTGGCTTCTTGCTGCGCAGGAGGGGCAGGAGTAGGAGGAGGTGGTTCTGTCGGAGGGCAGACAGCAGCAGCAGCAGCAGGAGGGTGCACGGACAGTTTTGCGAGCGCGCTAGCCCTGCACGGGTCTCGTGCCGGACTGCAGCACCTGGGGCTGCCCCGCTTGGGTCTCGCCTGCAGCATCAGCCGCAAGGACGTGGCACCGGCGGACGACGGCGCCTCCATGGCATCGTTCCAGCCGGCGCTGCCCTGTCTCATGGCCCAGCACGCAGCGCACGGTGCCGCCCTCAAAGACTTCTGCTCCTTCTTCCCGTGAACTCGTCCGTGGTGCCAAAGAGCGCGAGCAGAATTAGCACACCGCCTCCTTCTCTGCACCACCCCCCACCACCAACCGGCTACCATCGCCCTATGTCTCCTCCAGCCCCACACCCACCCCGCGCGTGAGGCCCACGCATGGCCTTCTGTGGGGGTGCGGGGTGCAACTCATCACAGCGTCGATACGCGCAGAACTCTGAATCCCGGCGTCGACACTCAGTTGTCTCATCAGCAGGATGATTATTTCGTGTCGCGTGAAGCGGTTTTGGTTTATTTTATTTCTGTTGAAAACAATTTTGGGGTCGGAGAGTGGCTGCGAGCGAAATGAAATTGTAATGAGTGTAAAAATAATTGCGATTGAGTCACGTTTTGTGGACGCTGTTAGCTTTCATTTTTTCCTCCCACTGCCACAACCAAGTCCGGCACGGCTCGGGAGGGGCTAGGTTGTTTTTTTTTCCACTGCAAGAAGCCAAGCCACGCTGCTAATGACGTCACGCGCAATGAGCGAGTAGAAGATGCACGTGGACGACGTAAGAGTGACGCCATGCCCTCACGACGTATTAACAATGAAAAGTATTAACCCCGCCCCCTGGCCCTGCTCGGCCCCGAGCTGGATTCAGATGTCTTCTTGTGAGGCCAGCGTAGCACGGGTTTGGTTCCGGTTTGCAATCACCAACCGCCACCACCAACCATGAGTCCCGCCCCCCGTGCTGGCTTGGCTCAGATTTGCCAGTGGAAAAACCACCACCTGTACCGTGCTGGCCACGTACTGGCTCGGCTCAGATGTGCCAGTGGAAAAGGAGTATCTGTCATACTTGCCAACGCCACCAATGTACGCAGTAGGCTGCCGATGAAAAAAAAATATATACATATTTTTTAAACCGTATACTGATTTTCAACGCTAATCAGACCATTCATACATTGAAAAACGAACGTCTACTCAATTTTTGCTTTGAAAATCGATATGCGGTATAAGGGATGAGTTTCAGGATTTTAACATTTCGGATTTAAATAAAATAATATTGTAGGATCAAAACATTTTTTGTTATTTTTTTAGAACATTTCCCCAATGTGCGAAAAGTAAAAAAATATACGCGTCTGCGCTCACGATAGTGACTTCACGCCATCCATTGTGACAGCACCTTCAGGCAAGAAAGCACGTGAGTGTTTGCCAAGTTAGTGACGTCACTTCCGTTTTTTGACAAATCAGAAACAAGCAAAAAAATAAAACAGTTATAATGGCTCTAAATTGCACTTATGGACGCGATTTTTTTTATATATATTTCGAACCGATACGAAAATGTGGAGCACGTCTCTAGTAAGCGGTGAAATGGGCCTCAAATGTTTGGCATCGGACCACTTGCGTCATCGGAGGAGTTGAGTCGGGGACTCTTCGCCACAAAGACTCGCTCAGAATTGACGAGCGACACGCGGCGCTGTCAAGTTACCAAACATATGGGGGGAGGGGAGGTGGGGGAGAAGGGGGGGGTTGACTGGTATGGTTACGGTTAGAGGGTTAGAGGTAAGGATAGTTTCTAGTTGGCTAGTGTGTGTAGGGGTAGGGCTAGTGTGGTTAGGGCTAGGGCTAGTGACTAATGGGCTAGTCTGGTTAGGGGTAGGGCTAGTGACTGATGGCCTAGTGTGGTTAGGGGTAGGGCTAGTGACTAATGGGCTTAGTGTGGTTAGGGGTAGGGCTAGTGACTGATGGGCTAGTGTGGTTAGGGGTAGGGCTAGTGACTGATGGGCTTAGTGTGGTTAGGGGTAGGGCTAGTGACTAATGTGCTAGTGTGGTTAGGGGTAGGGCGAGTGACTGATGGCCTAGTGTGGTTAGGGGTAGGGCTAGTGACTGATGGGCTAGTCTGGTTAGGGGTAGGGCTAGTAACTGATGGCCTAGTGTGGTTAGGGGTAGGGCTAGTGACTGACGGCCTAGTGTGGTTAGGGGTAGGGCTAGTGACAGATGGGCTTAGTGTGGTTAGGGGTAGGGCTAGTGACTAATAGGCTAGTGTGGTTAGGGGTAGGGCGAGTGACTGATGGCCTAGTGTGGTTAGGGGTAGGGCTAGTGACTGATGGGCTAGTCTGGCTAGGGGTAGGGCTAGTGACTGATGGCCTAGTGTGGTTGGGGGTAGGGCTAGTGACTGATGGGCTAGTGTGGTTAGGGGTAGGGCTAGTGACTGATGGGCTTAGTGTGGTTAGAGGTAGGGCCAGTGTCTGATTGGATAGTGTGGTTAGGGGTAGGGCTAGTGACTGATGGGCTTAGTGTGGTTAGAGGTAGTGCTAGTGACTGATTGGGTAGTGTGGTTAGGGGTAGGGCTAGTGACTGATGGGCTAGTATGGTTAGGGGTAGGGCCAGTGTCTGATTGGATAGTGTGGTTAGGGGTAGGGCCAGTGTCTGATTGGATAGTGTGGTTAGGGGTAGGGCTAGTGTCTGATTGGATAGTTTGCTCTGGCTCCTGTTCGCAAAGTGCCCCTCCCCCAATACCAACGATGCAGATTTGAATTTTCATTCTCTCCACTTTGTGAGTAGCCAATCACGGTGGCGCGAATTCCACTCGCCCACAACAAACACGTGTAATTTGAAAAACAAAACAGATCTTGAAAAATAATGAAGAAAGACACTTGTACAAGAAAGTAAAACCCACAACAACAATAGCGTCATCGTCACCAATGATTGCCAGCGCATGTGTAAAAACATGCTTTTGGAACTTTATCTTTTTAAAACGAACTTATGCCACAAGGGGCGTGGGGAGAGATCCGATGCGATCGGGCAGAGAATATTTTGCATGAACCCGACCTGGATCTCCCCCCAGAAGGTCACTGCTAGCATCCTCACAGAGACCCCGAGTGGTCGCGAACATGGTTAGGCCACGACCACAACACGACCAACAACGACACCAACAACAACAACACCACCAACAACAACGACACCAACAACAATGACACCAACAACAACGACACCAACGACAACAACGACACCAACCGTCATCTTCTCACGCTGCGTTGATCACGAGGGTGGGGCTCAAAGTTTGTAAAGAGTTGTGTTTTTGTTGGTTTAGCCAGGTGTGCGACCAGGTGCTTAGCCAGGTGCTTAGCCAGGTGCTTAGCCAGATCACTGCGGGTCGGTGGAGGTGAGGGCCTCAGTTGTCGGTACTTTGGACCCATACACAGCGAGTATGGCTAGCGTCTAGTGTGCTAGTGTTGATACGTCATCAGAGTACACAAACTGGGCATGACTAGGGCTAGTGTCTAGTGTGTTAGTGTTGATACGTCAACAGAGTACACAAACTGAGTATGAGTAGGGCTAGTGTCTAGTGTGCTAGTGTTGATACGTCAACAGAGTACACAAACTGGGCATGACTAGGGCTAGTGTCTGGTGTGCTAGTATTGATACGTCAACAGAGTACACAAACTGAGTATGAGTAGGGCTAGTGTCTAGTGTGCTAGTGTTGATACGTCAACAGAGTACACAAACTGAGTATGACTAGGGCTAGTGTCTAGTGTGCTAGTGTTGATACGTCAACAGAGTACATCAACTGAGTATGAGTATGGCTAGTATCTGGTGTGCTAGTGTTGATACGTCAACAGAGTACACAAACTATGAATAGGGCTAGTATCTGGTGTGCTAGTGTTGATACGTCAACATAGTACATCAACTGAGTATGACTAGGGCTAGTATCTAGTGTGCTAGTGTTGATACGTCAACAGAGTACACAAACTGAGTATGAATAGGGCTAGTATCTGGTGTGCTAGTGTTGATACGTCAACAGAGTACATGAACTGAGTATGAGTAGGGCTAGTATCTAGTGTGCTAGTGTTGATACGTCAACAGAGTATACAAACTGAGTATGAATAGGGCTAGTATCTAGTGTGCTAGTGTTGATACGTCAACAGAGTACATCAACTGAGTATGACTAGGGCTAGTATCTAGTGTGCTCGTGTTGATACGTCAACAGAGTACACAAACTGAGTATGAGTAGGGCTAGTGTCTAGTGTGCTAGTGTTGATACGTCAACAGAGTACACAAACTGGGCATGACTAGGGCTAGTGTCTGGTGTGCTAGTATTGATACGTCAACAGAGTACACAAACTGAGTATGAGTAGGGCTAGTGTCTAGTGTGCTAGTGTTGATACGTCAACAGAGTACACAAACTGAGTATGACTAGGGCTAGTGTCTAGTGTGCTAGTGTTGATACGTCAACAGAGTACATCAACTGAGTATGAGTATGGCTAGTATCTGGTGTGCTAGTGTTGATACGTCAACAGAGTACACAAACTATGAATAGGGCTAGTATCTGGTGTGCTAGTGTTGATACGTCAACATAGTACATCAACTGAGTATGACTAGGGCTAGTATCTAGTGTGCTAGTGTTGATACGTCAACAGAGTACACAAACTGAGTATGAATAGGGCTAGTATCTGGTGTGCTAGTGTTGATACGTCAACAGAGTACATGAACTGAGTATGAGTAGGGCTAGTATCTAGTGTGCTAGTGTTGATACGTCAACAGAGTATACAAACTGAGTATGAATAGGGCTAGTATCTAGTGTGCTAGTGTTGATACGTCAACAGAGTACATCAACTGAGTATGACTAGGGCTAGTATCTAGTGTGCTCGTGTTGATACGTCAACAGAGTACATCAACTGAGTATGACTAGGGTTAGTATCTAGTGTGCTAGTGTTGATACGTCAACAGAGTACACAAACTGAGTATGAGTAGGGCTAGTATCTGGTGTGTTAGTGTTGATACGTCAACAGAGTACATCAACTGAGTAAGAGTAGGGTTAGTATCTGGTGTGCTAGTGTTGATACGTCAACTAAGTACGTAAACTGAGTACAGTAACTGATACATTAACTGGGAGGAAGACTTAAAGCCAGACGGATGATGATGATGATGGAGACCTTGAAGTGTTATGTGCTTGTCCACGCAACATTTTCACTGTCTGGCATAGGGAAGGAAGCGATGGCGAATAGATGATGATGTTATGAATCAAAGCAATATATTGACAACAACAACAATGGCTTCAACAACATAAACAACAAGAACGATAAATAACAATGGCAATCAACAACAATAACGATGAACAAACAATGACAATCAACAACAATAACGACGAACAAACAATGACGATGAACAACAACAACAGTGAACAAGAGCAATGACATCACCAGCATCAACAACGCACACTGAACTCACTTGGAGCCGTACGAGAGTGGAGCGCCGTGTAATTGTAACGAGTTTATCGATGTTAATTAATGTTTAGTTTTGCAATTTCTGCGCCCCCCCCACAGCCACGTCCCCGTCTTCCCCTCCACCTCCTGTTTCGTTTTCTTTTTGTATATTTAATGATTTAATCACAATAAATAACTGAACGTGGTTTTTCAGGGGCCCGTCTGATGGGTAATTGATCCCCGCTTAAACATCTTGGAGGCGAAGCAGGAAATGAGCCTGCTTAAGAGTACTGCACCTGCCTGGATGCGACTACTGGCTGTGCGTACCAAGTGCCGTAGGCGTTTACTGCGATGGGGGGGGGGCACTGCAAGAGATGGAAGTACAGCAGATGATTCTTGAAGCTATCTGTGTGGATCTTTGAGTGTCACTTCACCTCGTGTGGCACCGGACTGTGCTGGGGTTTCCCCCCGGATCGTCCGGTTTTCTGCTCCCTCGCAAAGCCTCATGGGATTCGTGGCTCAACACATCCCAGTGGTAGCAGGGCCCTCCTTGAAAGGGAGTGCTGAGACTCAGCGAGGCATCTTCATCGCTCTGTCATCTCACTGGTCTGTATTTTAGCAGCTATCTCGCTCTCATGTAAATGGATTTTTCATCTAAATTATCTGTATATCTTGTCTCCAGCCCTCCCAGCTTTATCTCTCGTGTATCTCTATTCCATATAAGGTCGCACACAGAGACCCACAGAGTAGAGACCCACAGACTCCAGAGCAAAGACCCACAGACTCACACAGAGATCCAGACTCACACAGAGACCCGCATACTCACGCAGCAGAGATCCACAGACTCACACAGAAGAGACCCACAGACTCACACAGCAGAGACGCACAGACTCACACAGCAGGAACCCACAGACCCACGCAGCAGAGATCCACACACTCACACAGAGACCCACAGACTCACACAGAGACCCACAGACTCACACAGCTGAGACCCACAGACTCACACAGCAGACCCACAGACTCACACAGCAGAGACCCACATACTCACACAGCAGAGACCCACATAATTACACAGAGACCCAC